AGAGGCAGCCTCGTAAATCCGTATTTTCTGGTACAGCAACAAAATCTCCCCGTCTAGCTGCCACCTCGTGCGGTGGAGGTAGGTTGGTTCCGCCTGTCCAACCGCTCGGTTTGGATGTTTGTATGTATGTATGTATGTGTGTATGTGGTCGCGTGTACACAAGCAAAGGCGGGCTGGTGCGTTGGGGGTACAGCTATTGCTTAATGCTGGTTAGGGTGAACAGCCTGCCAGTGTCGGCGAGTATGCAAAAAGTGTAACAAACACGTCTAGCCGTCACGAGAGGGGATGAGGTGGGCCTGACAGAATGCGAAAAACACACGTAGGCAAACACACCTAGCATCCAGCACATACACACACACACACACACACACACAGATACAAAGTTTCAGACATGCATACAAGACGACATAGAGATAGACGTATAGACAGACAAGAGACAGTTAGTTGTCTAGTCGCCGGAGGGATCAGCAGTCAATTAGACGCACAAGTGTGCATTTGTGTACTCAGAAAGGAGCGGTGAAAGGAGGAAAAGCGGGAAAAACAAGAGAACGAGGAGAAACAGAAAAATAGCAAAATACATGCGGGCATGTAGATTTAATTATTCACAAATTAATCCATTATCCGGACTATGGCAAGCCGCAAACAAAGCCAGTTTCGGTGTGGTGCCAAAAGTGATGTGCATCGTGATGGCCAGACGTGGGCTTGCTTGTATTGTGTGTCAGTGAAAAATAGACAAAGTGAAGAGGGGAGAAGAGAAATGGCGATGAGGGGTTGATGGGTTGAGGGGTTGAGAGGGCAGTCGTGAGTTTAGAGTTAGGCAACGTGTGACGAGTGACGCTTGATGGGGGGTGGGGGTGGGGTGCTGGTACCGAAGGACGAGTGACGAGTGACATGAGTCGTCGGCTCGCTCTGCGTGTTCGTGTCTCTGTTGCAACGGTTGGCGCATGTCTGCAGATCAAGTGGAAGTGGGGGTGGGGGTGGGAGTGGTACAAAGGAAGGAAGGGTTGTTTGAGAGGCAGCCATTTAAGAGCACGACAGCCGGTCGCGACTGGACTGCCAGTGGGAGTGGCACAGACGAGATGGGCTGGGGCGGGTGAAGACGTCTTCGGCAGGCTGTGAAAAAGACACCCAAAGTGGCGCCGGACCCGAAGTGAGTTGAATTGAACTGAAGTTAACTAAATTGAGTTGAACTGGACAGAGTCAATCGAAAGTGACGTCAATTGATTTGAGCCGGATTGAAGTAAACTAACCTGACTCGCATTGAATTGAACTAGACCGAATCAGACTAAACTGACCTGAATTGAAATGAATCGGATTGAAGTAAACTGAATTGAATGGAACCGGACTGAATTAAGCAAAACTGACCTGAATTAAACTGAATTGAATTGGGCTAGACAGAATCAAGCTAAACTGACCTGAATCGGACTGAATTAGAATGAAATGAACTGAACTGAATTGGATTGGATTGAAGTAAACTGAATTGAATGGAACCGGACTGAATTAAGCAAAACTGACCTGAATTAAACTGAATTGAATTGGGCTAGACAGAATCAAGCTAAACTGACCTGAATCGGACTGAATTAGAATGAAATGAACTGAACTGAACTGAATTGGATTGGATTGAACCGCACTGAAGCAAACTCACTGACTGAAACTAAACTGACCTGGATTGCATGAAACTGAATTGAATTGGGCTAGACTGAATTAAGTCAAACTGGCCTGAATCGGACTGAATTAAAATGAAATGAATTGAACCGGACTGAAGCAAAGTAAACTGACCAAAATTGAATTGAATCGGACTGAACTAAACTAAACTGAATTGAATGGAACCTGACTGAATTAAGCGAAACAGACCTGAACCGAACTGAAATGAATCGGATTGAAGTAAATTGAATTGAATCGAATCGAATCGAACCGGACCGGACTAAATCAAATTAAACTGACCTGAATTGGATTGACTCGGACTGAATTAAACTGCATTGAATTGAGCCGGACAGAATTGAGCCAAGCCGAGCTGAACCGGACTAAAACCAAACTGACCTGAATTGGACTGAATTAAAATGGAATAAACTCAATTGAATTGAATCGGACTGAAGCAAACTAAACTCACCTCAATTGAGTTGAATCGGACTGAATTCAAATGAAATGAGCTGAATTGAATTGAATTGAATCGAATCAAAATGAACTGACCTG